AAAGATGGGGTTTTGGAAAGTTCTGACTTTGCACTCCGTGAGGAACAGCTGTCATCTCCAGCAGGTGTTGTGGCTGACAAGCCCTAGCGCAGGAGGGGGTTGCTGTGGGCTGGGCTTCCTAGCAGCTCCTTTGGACCCGTGTGTCCCACTCCAACCACAAGCCAGCTGGAGCTGCTGAGGGCTTGGGAAGGACTGGACGTGTCATGGCCTTTCCCTGTAGGTGATGTTGGTCTTAATAGATGACTTCATGGGCACAATTGCAAAAATAGCAGTTTTGGTTTTTTATTTTTTCTGTCTGGTTCATTTTTCCCTGTCTGTGCATGAGTCAGACATTTCTGTATCCTCACCTGGCTTGAATCTCAAGCATGTGTCCTCGTGGAAGGAAGAAGTTGAATTGTCCACAAAAGGGTAAATTTAAGTTATGATTTTTATATTTTTTTTTAATGTCTGTGCTGTCTTATTAACAAACAAACAAACCTACAACCTCTGTCAAGCCCAATGATGAAAATACTCGAGTTAAAGAGTAATACTAGAGACCTTTTCAAACCAGAAAGTGAGATTTTGAAACTGCCCTGCTGTTCCTTAGTGCAATAAATAATAAAACAAAAACATCTTCAATTCAGGAACACTTATTTTTACCTGGTGCCTTGTTTTGTTTTAAATTGAACAGATTGAACAGCTCTATTCATCTGTTGTGGGACGTGTCCCTGCTCATGGCAGGGGGGTTGAAACTAGATGATCTTTAAGGTCTTTTCCAACCCAGACCCTTCCATGATGATTCTGTGATGGGTAATTGCATTTCCTTTTAAAAACAGAACACTGAATCTAGTTATGTCTGGAAAAGGGAAGCTCTGCTTTCCTGCTTTCTTTTTTACATGGATCTGCAGATAAATAAATGGGGCAGGGGAAGGTATTTCAGCTAAACTGATAATACTGCATTGTAAGTTGTTACTGCAGCAGCTGCTTAATTTAGGAGTAATAATTAGGAATCCTTTTCATTTACTTGTGCTGGAGGATAATGAATAGTTGCCTAGTTCTAGTAAAATGTTTTTGTTTAAACTGTTTGTTTGTTCACTTGGGGTCTCTTGGGTGCCATAGGAGTGGCTGCCCTGGCTTCCTCCTGACATCCCAGCCCTCCAGGGTTGGGTTGTTGGGCAGTGGCAGCAACTGAGGAAAAAGAATGTGAACGGGGCAGGTATTGAATCGTTCTGCCTGAACAGTGGGAGGATGTCTGGAAACCTGCCTGGCACAGGTGTCCTGAGCTAGAGATCTGGCATCTGAAACAGCCCTTGAAGAGCTTTTCTTCCATGAATTTAGTTGCTTCTTGAGCATTTTCATAGCCTAGTGTGCGAGATACCCTGAGACAGTGAGTTCTACAATGGAATTACTCAGTATGTAAGAAACCGTATTTAAAAGTTCTGCTGAGCTTCATTTGTTGCTCCCAAGTTCTTGTTTTTTAAGACGTACTGAAATTTATCTCCTTTTCACCTTCTTTGTGCTGGATGTGATTAAATAGATGTTCATCATGTCATCTCTCAGAGTAGAGAAGTTTGTTTAATCTCTTCTTGGTTGGAAGTCCTTGTAGCTTTATGGTTATCCTTTTTTTTGCCTCCACAAATGTTCTTTTCCTAAGCTGGAGGAGACCAGACCTGTCATCACACGAGATGTGGATGCCCAGGGGATGCAGTGTGGCAGGTTCCTGATCCCTGCTTCTGAATTCCTCTCCTCTTTTTATCATGGAGCTGGGGATATGAGAATTCAGGCTGTGATAACTTCAGGTTTTCTTTTCTTAGTCATGACAGATACCTGGCAGCTTATTACTGTGTATATAAAATAATTTTTCTCACATGTTCCTTTGCATTTACTGATGCTTCATTTCCTGTGCCCTTACTGCTCAAGCATTCAGCATTACCAAACATACCTATTTTTTTTCCTGACTGTCTCAAAACCTTTCCAACAGCTGCAGGCTTTATCTCACAGCCCTTGTTTTCTGTGACAAGGCAGGAGCCCTCCTCACCCAAAACTCCTTACTCCTACTCTGTAATCTCCATCAGTTACTAGTTGAAAAGAGGATTTTCTTCTTTATGCAATCAGAATTTCGAGCTTTTAGCAGAATAATTTTTTGAAAGGCTTTTTGGACACTCAGGAGTATTGTTTCTGTTGGATCATTTTTATTTGCCTGCTGCCTAGCTCCTTTAGAGACTGCTGCAAGATATGACTTCAGCCTGTGTAAGCAAAACTAATTAACCCTTTTGTGTGTTTGTATTTGTATTAATCTGTGACAGAAATGAGACTTCCTGGCTCTTAGCCCCTAGCTGCTCTTGGCCTTCTAAACAAATCTCATTCCTTTGGTGCTTGGGCTGATTGAAGCCAAGTTACACAGCAGAATAAACAGTGCAGGATTTCCTGAGTCCAACTGACAGATTCTTCTGAGAACCCCCTCCAGCTGTGGAGCCACTTTAGTGAGGGATCTTAAGGAGAATTTGCAGCACTTGCACTGTCCTGGGGCTGACAGGCTTTACCCATCTCACCTTACAGTGCATGTGAGTGTTCCTTAACAGAGGAATTCTGAGGTGAAAGCAGCACAGCAGCTCGCTGCTGCAGCTCTACTGGGGAGCTAGAATCCACTGTAACCCCAGGAGCAAAAATGCTCACTGCCTGCTGTGGTTAAGTACAGGGCGGAAGAGTTTAAGTAATCTCATTTCAAAGGTCTTTAGACTGTCATAACATCAGAGAGAAAGGTCAGAAATGCAGGTTAGAAGTTAAAATGTCCCACAAGAATGCAGCGTGTTGAAGTGTGACAACTACCCAGCTGAGTCCTTCAGAGAATGCTGCCCAGACACTGGTTTCAGCACTTTTATATTTAAAAACCAGTTTAGTGCCTGCCAGCACCCCCCAGCTGCAAGGGGATGTGGAGTTTGTCACCTGTACCCAGCAATGGGAGCTTCACATTGGCTCTAGTGGAGTGGTCCCTGCAAAGGCAGCTGGTGTGTGTGGAGCTGCACGTAGGATGCTGAGCCAGAGGAGCAGTCATTCTGCATTCAAAACAGGGACCTGATGGTAATTGATTTTTGGAGTCCCATGAGGCAAAAGATAATGGAGAAAAGAACATTTCTTTCCATGTCAGCAAGTTTCTTGCTAAGTCATCTTCAAAAGCCCCCTGATACATACTTAATACCTGAAAACCATCAGTTGCAGGGATACAGCAGTGAAGGAGAGACAGACAGACACTGCTTTTGTTTCTGTTTGAGTGTTGGGGAAGGAACAATGCATTTCCAGCAACAAATTCTCTGTAATTCCATGCTGTGGTAACTGGGAAGAGTTCCTGTTGCCTGCCTTATGGGTGGGGAAGGGCATGACAGTAAAATCTAATTAAATATCATCTGTAGAAATCACCTTTAAACATTCTAGTGTCTGCTTTCAAACAAGATGTTAAGGCCATAAATTTCAAAGCAAGCAAAGCAGTGAGTTCTTCCACCCAAACCCACGGGTGCTGTGGCAGGGTCCCATGTCACAACTTCTGACTTGAAAAGTCACTGAAACTTGACAAAAACACTCTAGAAATATCTTTCTCACTGCAGGCTGGAGCTTTGGGGAGCACAGGGTGACCCTGAGAGCAGGACAGCAGTGCTGCCTTGGCCAGGCAGGTACCAGCCAGGTAACCAGCTGGTTTGTAAAGCACTTGGGGGCAGGGGGGAAAGCACAGACAGAATTAACTGCAAGGAAACAGGAGATGGTGACACAGCAGGACAGCGGGGGTGTGACATGCAGCTGCACAGTGCCCTCAGCCCAGAGGTCACAGTTCCTCTGGTTCTGTGGGACTATCTGGAAGCCCAAGGTGCAGGGGGTGACACTGGTGTCCTACCCAGAGGCAAAACTGGCCTCGTGGGGCACCAGGGGACACCTGGGCACTGGAGTGGATGCTGATCACTTCCTCAGAATGGGACAGAACTCTTTTAAGCATTTTCTTCAGGCCTCTGGTCCTCACAAGTGGATAATCAGGCATGGGGGTGTGAGATCCTCTCCAGCCCCCAGCTGACGGTGTCAGCAGAGCAGCTGCTGTGCCAGGAGCTCCCCCACGCAGCTACAGCAACTTGTCTTTTCCTACTGTACTCCTCTCAACACCCACCCACCTGGTCTGTCACACATCTTCAGTAGCAAACCCCATCCTTATTCCTAAATACCACTGGCCACGCCAAGCAGAGCTGGGACATTTTAGAATGTGTTCTCACCAGTTCATGAGGGGTGAGCACACCCGTGGGGACATTTTCACACTTGACTTCCCTTTGGTTTAAAGCTGGAGCTACTTATTTTTGCAAAGAGCTCCAGTAATGTAATTTTTAGCTAGCTCTGTTATCCCAGTGTGACTCTTAGAAAGGCAGTGGGAAGGAGTTATCTTTCATCTCTTCCCCCTTTTCTTTTTCCTGCCCACTGGAGCAGAAGCCAGCCTATGAGCACTGGGAGGAGTTGCAGGCGGTTGTTTCCTCTCCTATCCTGCCTTCACCTCCAATTCTCATCCCAATTTATATGCTACACAGAACAGAGAAGTCAAAATGCAACCAGTCCCTGCTCTGGCAGCCCAGCCTCTCCTCCACTTGGGATATCACAGATGCAGCCCATAGGATGTCACAGTGAACACATGAGCACACCAGTTCGGTGGCAGGAGCTGTCAGTACCAAGTAAGGTGATAAACGTGAGGTAGATACATGACAGTCGTTATTATATTGACAACAAGCTCACGACAGAACAGTATCAAACACCCACACACTTCCATGTATTTCTAGGGCAGCAACTATTCAAACCTGCCAAAGAGAGGGCGATGCTGCACATCCTGTAGGATTTCCTTCCCCCACCCCAACATTTCACACACAGATGTGGCAGTGAACAGCTGGGTCATGCTGGAAACACCCATGAGGAACTGGAAAGGGCAGGAAGGAGGCATCTCATCCTGGTGTCTGCCACAGCCCCATGGATACCAAGACCCACCACGCCAGCCTTGGTTACCGCGATACCGATCGCGATACCGTGTCCTTTGTTGCCAGGTGGGCAGCCAGGTTCTCTCGGAAGTCGTGGAGGTAATTGTATTGCTGAAAAGCACAACCAGATCTGTATGAGTGCCCTGTACTCTGGGAAAAGGCACCATCTTAAAAACCTGTTTGATCCCCTAGGATGAAAACTGCACTCTAGTCTGTGCTTCCTGCAAATCCTCTGGAATTATTCCACCACCAGGCACAGACTACACGGGTCCTGGCTTGTGGTTCTTTATAAAGGGCACACCTGGGCTCAAGGTAATACAAACCATGGTCCTCAGGAGGTGGGAGCTTCCTGTCAGAATGCAAAGCTGCTTGATTTGGGTCTGCAAGAGGTGTAACAGTTGGCAGGAACAGCTCTTAGGTCACCTCATACATTGTGTGGAGTATTAATACACAAGTGTTCAATATGAGATAAGTATCAATATGAGTTTAAAATGTTGGTCAGCAGAGGCTAAGGGCAGATCATCCACCCCAAGTGGCTGTGAGAGCTTCTAATTTTAACAGTTGCTCATGTCTTTTCCCATCCCTTCCACCAGGGGTCCAAGCTACTCCCCACCTGCCCCTTTGGTTTGTGGAAAACTGATTGTAACAAGTAGTTTAAACAAGATTTGCCTTCCAGAGAGGCTTGGAGCTCATGAAGATGCAGACTTCAGGAAATTCTCCTCAGAAACTCCTGTCTTGTAAACTTTAGAAATGTCAGCTCCTCTCTCCTGTACACAGAACTCTTTCAAGAGCATAACATCTAGGACTCCTATCAACAGAAATATTTACACAGAGAGGGTAAAAATCCCACCAAAAGAAGAAAAACCCATCATGATCAGCAACTAAAAACCTACATGGAGGGAGACCTAACACTTCTTAAAAGAAGACTGCCAGTTATTGATGGGATAGCTACAGAGAATGAACGTGGCCAGGGGGTTTGGGAAGGTGGAAAAAAACCAAAGCAGAAAGCTCACGCAGATGTCCAAGCTGTGAGGAGAATGTGAGCATCAGAATGAGACAACAGCTCAGTGCTCACTGAGCAGGGGTGAGGAGGAGAAAGCAACAAGTTACTAATGCTGAGCAGGCAGGGAGAAGGGTTGTTGAATCCAGTAGAGGCAGAACAAGATGATCAGTTCAAGCCCAAGACAGCAGCAGGGACACCAGCTGTGGAGCATCACAGGAAAACAGAAGGATCCCTTTGTGAGGTGAAGGAGAGGACTGCCCAAGCTCTGCCCTCATTTTGGCACCTATGTTTACCTGCTGCAGCCCTATTACCTTGACAGTCTGTATGGCCCCAGATCCTCTCAGGGCTCTGAGGCTGTCCATGGCTTCCTGAGGTGCCAGATCCTCTAAAAGTTGAAGCAGGAGACAAGCAGCAACTGTAGGGGAAAGGGAAATAACACACGTGTGATGCGGAGCTCCTACTGCTGTGCACAGCACCACTGCATAGCCAGGGCTTTGGGCACAGAATCACAGACTGGTTTGGGTTGGAAAGGGCCTTAAAGAACATCTAGTTCCAACTCCCCTGCCATGGGCAGGGACACCTCCCACCAGCCCAGGTTGCTCCAAGCCCCATCCAACCTGCCCTTCAACACTGCCAGGGATGGGGCAGCCACAGCTTCTCTGGGCAACCTGGGCCAGGGTCTCACCACCCACACAGCAAAGAATTTCTTCCTAATGTCTGATCTACATCTCCCCTCTTCCTGTTTAAACCCCTTGGTCTATGAAAACCACTCTAGCAAAACTCAAAATTGTCATATCAGAATAACTGACCTATTGGATCTTCTACTGAATACTGTTCCTTGGCACTGGCTGCGTCTGCCTGGGGCTCCTGCCCAAGCCTGCAGGCTTTGGAAACGGGTGGAACTCTCCCACTTTTTCCCTCTGCCTTTCCAGCAGCATTTGGGAGGCAAATTCTAGGCTTTTCAAGAATGACCCCAGCATACCCAGTTAATTCCCCTTTGTGTCTTCTGACTGCATCTGCTTTTTTGGCACTATCACCACCCTTCTGAGGCACACACAAGAGCTAACACGCCTGAAAACTTATGAGGGAGACACTGGGTTGAAGAAAGATGCAGAGGAATAGGTTCATCATCTCATTTTCTTGAAGAGGTAATCAGGAAAGAGGGGAAGTGCAATCCCATCAGTCAGACAAGACTAACATTTGCAGTGAAAACAGAGAAAAATTAAGAACTTTCCACCAGCCTCACTGAAAGACTGACCCTGCCTGACCCTCTATCCCCTCCCCTACACACTCAGAGCTATTCCATGACATACTTCTGTCACTCATCACATACAGTTTCTCTACAGGCAGATAATTCTACTACCATTTGACAGCACCTTTCCCAAGAAAGATCCCAAATCTATTGACCAGCCTGCTTCCTGTCGTGGCAGTTTGCATTGTGACCACAGTGAAGCTTGCAAGCAGCTTCCTTAGACAGTGCTGTCTCAGGAGAAGGGGTCTGAGATGGGTTGGTTAGTCAGGCTTTGAGAGGGGGAAGGAAACTACTTACTGAGACACGAGCGTCCGAGGCCACCATAGCAGCTGAAAGAGCAGAAAGGACTTCACTGCAACAAGCTGTAGGTTCCTGCAACACCCAGAGCCTTCCCAATGCCTACATGCACTGACACAATTCTTGCATTAATTTAACCACGAGGAGCAGTGGTACAAAAGTTAGAATGTAGCTACAAGGCTACCTTGCATTTATTGTTCAGACCTTCCTTAGTATCTTTCTAGAGAAACCACACTTTTAAAGTTCCCCTTTGTTGATGGTACTAGTCCCAGTGGCACAGGAGGGCATTAAAGGGCAGGAAAATGGACAGTATCAGTTTTCCTTATATTCTACTCCAGATTCAGGCTTTGGTGACAGTTGTTAGCCAAGGATAGCAGGGTTACAGCAGGAAGCCCACGACCTCAGAGGATGAGTGTGGGGAACTGTCAGCAGGACCATTCAGGGAACATGGAATTTAGGAAGCAATTCCCTCTACCCTAAGCTCAGCTACAAGTGTCTAAAGAAATTAAACCAGTTTTGTGCAATTTATGAGTGAATTTTGCACTGGTGGAACCCACTGAGGTCCTGATAAACAGCCCAAGGGTGTATTATCCTCTGACAACAGCAGCTTTAGCTTAAAACTCTTCCTGTGTGCTGATTTCCAGCTAGACTAGCTGCATGGTGCCATTCAACAGGCACTTTGCTAGACAGAGCCAGGAGAAATGTGTGGTTCAAACCTCACAATGGACAAGTTAGCTCCAAAAGGGTGCATGAGGAGAAACAAGCAGCTCTGCACAGTTTGAGCTGACCCTGGAGAATGCAATTGTTGTTGGACAGGATTCTGTTTCAGCTGGTCATACATCTGCAATGAAGCTGGTACCTTTCACAGGGGTGAGAGGGAGGCAACCAGAACCTACTGTATGATTGTTTTCCGGTTACTTTCCAGGCAGCTTCTGAGCTCTTCCAGGATTTTGCAGCACTGGGCAATGTCAGGAGCATCCCCATCAGGAACAGGATAGTGGTGCACACACATCCCATGCTGGTGGTAGGTGTCTATAAGGTTTGGTACTCGGTATTTTAAGAGCTCTCCTCTGGTACAAAGCACAAACACATCCTGGGTCCCATAGCTCTTTAGTTCTTCTGCCAACAGATTAAAACACTTGCAAATAAACAAACACTGGTCAAGGTTAAGGATAAACTGATAAGCTACTTGATACTGATTCTGTTGTTTAATCTTTGAGGTTAGGACAATAGCTGCTTTGAGCAGCATTTCCTTCTACTGTGCCTCTCCCACATCTGACTTCAAGTAGCCCATGAGAGACAATTTCTCAGTTCCTTGGGAGAAGCCTCACTAGGAAGCACATCAGCATGGAGAAATCTGTTAACTGCTGCCAGCTTGGGCAGGACTCTGTCCCAGCTCCAGCTGGGCTGTGCCCACACACTGTGGGGTTTTGCTATTAAGTTTCTGCTCTTCTACTGTTTACAGACAAATACTTGGCACTAATTTTTACAGAATTTTATCTTTTCTACCCAATCTCACTTTTCTCTGGGAACAGATTACAAGTTTGTAATTTGTCCTGGTAACTTTGAAGGTGCCTTCTCCTGCACAGGCCTTGGCAGAGCTCATAGATACTGTGAAAGATACACGTATGCCTGAAAAGCTCCAGCCTGGAAACACCCTGACTACTTATGCAGTATTTGGTAGGGAAGCCACAGAGAGTAGCACTACAGAGTGGACAGTGATATTGGGCACTCATAACACTGCCTGTGCCAAGATATCTGCTGCATCTCCAAGCACAGTGTCACCAAAACCCAGAGTGACATTGCTGTCAGGAGGACTATACAGAACTGCCCTACATTCAATGTGGTAGCAAAAGGACAACTATCACATCTATCATAAAAGTACAAGACCACAGCACTGGTTTAGGTACCTGGTGTCTGGATCTCTCCAGACAAGGCAAACCTCTAGCTTGTCACTAACTTCTGCTTTCAGTTTACCTGCATGATGTTCTTGCCCATTACGTGGGAGCCAGAGGCCAGATGACTCACCTATATCTTTCTGAAGATTTCTTCTAACATCCTTAAACCTGCAACCTAAAACAAGTTATGAATGACAACTGCTGCTCCAGGTAAGTGACAGAACACAGACAACCTGCCCCCAACACCAAACAAACAACAAAGCCAACCCCCCCAGTCAAACACAGCTCTTATTTTTGCAAATAGATCACTAGTGCAGAAGACAGTTTAAACACCATTATCTGCTTAATGCTGTCGTGTAATAGGATTTAAAAAAAAAAATCTGCCCAAGGTTTTAAATTGCTGTGCATTTTCTGGATGAGAAGTTTTGCATGTAAGTCAGGATACAGGTTTAAAAACCCCACAAAACAAAACAAACCCCCAGTAAATAAAAGGGCTGGATAGAGATCACTAAAGAATTGTCTGGTTGATAAAAAAGTAAGTTCTCTGTTCTGTCATAATCAGCACAAATCATATAAAAATAACCTCCTTATATTCAATCTTCAGTGTATCATCACTTTGAGTTGTTTTCCTCGTATCATGCTACCAAGGCATTTTTGCAGCCCCTGCAGTCCTGCACCACGATATCCACAGCTGTTGCTTGCTTTGTGAGATGAAATTGCTCAAAATATTTGCACTATGTCTCTCCTCTGTCTCCCTCCCCTCACAGCCCCACAGGCTCACAGCCTTTATGCCTGCCCTGACAGCAGTCAGGATTGTGTATATCTTGAAACACCTTTTAAAAGCAGATCAGGATCCTGCAGACCAAGAGCTGCATCAGCAGGGCCAGGCTGGAGGAGGACTTCTGGAGATTAAACAGCTGTTACATGAAGAGCTCAGGTAGCTAAAAATAGGATGTAGTTTTTTTTTTGTATATATGTTAACTGGCATCCCAGTGTTCTGGGATTTTCATTAGCACAAGTGGCCATCACCCACTTCAAGATACCTTAAATTCAAATATTATTCAACAGTTCTTTTCTAGTTCTTTAGTGTGGTATTAGTCCCAAGCTTGGGTTTCTCAGATTTGAGTAAGGAAAGCTGGGTAACTGCTTAAATGAAGTAGGGAATGTTCACACTGTCACCACCAGCAGCAAATTCACCATGGCTGCAGTTTTTGTAGTTAAAAATACAGTGAAAGCTTATATGCCTGTTTTTAGATCTTGGCCATGGTAGTGCAACTCAGAAGCTAAGGGAGAGCAAGACTGAGCAGTGAGTGAGTGTAATTTGAGCCAAATATATCTTATAAAGGAATTATTTGTTGAAGCAGCTTGTAGTGAGTTAGGCTAGAGAACCAAATATTTTAAATGACAATGGATGACAGTCAGTGTTCTCCTACCACTCTGCCAGATGATCTTACATCAACATATTCTCTTGCTCAGTCTTAGTATTTCTGAAACATGATGATTCCAGTGGTAGGTGACAAACCAAGTCACCCCACCAAACAAACAGAACACAGAATTTTGACGTCAGGGGTTTTACTTCTCTTCAGCTTCAAACCTGTCTGCAAATGTCGGTGGATGCTTCTTACCTGGAAGGGAACATAACCCCAGGAGCTCGGAAGGGTAGACAGGAGACAAAGACAACCTGCCAGAAAATGAAAGATACAATGTAAAAATCCTAACAGCACATTTTGAGATAACTCGCTATGAGACCCTCCTTCTCTGCTGGGTGGCAAGAAGAGTTACTTACCTACAATTTAATAATAAAAATGAAGCACGCCAGTGCTATTTCTACCCCACCAGACCACGGGGGTCACACGTCTGGCAGCGTGCTGCGGCACATACCCCTGCCCAAGAGGAGGAAAACGTTGGCAGAGCTCCCCCTTAGCACCCAGACATCGGTGCTGACCGATACAGCGACCAGCAGCCGCTTCTAAAACCGACCCGGCCCCACACCCACCCCCAGCGGGCCTGCACCAACCCTGCCCTTTCCCCCGGGCCAACCCGCCCTGGCGGGGTCACCAGAGCTCGGCACGGGGGTTCACCGGGAAAAAAAAACAACACCAAAACACACTCCCGTTTTGAGGAAGCAAGCGGCCTTTGAGGTGAAGTTTCTGAAGGGGAGAGGCGGGCGGGGCGGCCTCACCAGGACACGGGGAGCGGCTTCGGGTTCTCCTCCGCGGCCTCGTCCTCCGAGGAGTCGAACTCGCCCGCTCGCATGGC